ATTGCAAGGCACCACTGGGCTGGGTGGAGATAAAGGATTTGACTGCCAAGGGGCAGCAAGGAACTCTGGAGTGATGGAAATGTCATGTCTTAATTGTGATGGTAGTTACACAAGCACATATATCATCTATTTGTTATAATTTGTCGATTTTTTTAAAAAAGTAAATATTACTACAATAAACCAGGAGAAAAAATGATTAAAAAAATGAAAAAGTCCTTTTTATCTGTTAAATGGCACAGTGTAAGTGGATGAGTGTAAATTGTAGTTAAAAATACAAGTAGGAATTTAATAACTGGCATTAAGAGTTTTTGCCTCTTAAACTTTTTTTTTCCCCAGCCACAGTGGTATGTTTACTGATGGGAACACCATTAGGAATTTTCACTAATCCATATGTTTCTTTCATTGATATTCTGGTAATTGAGACTACCTCAGGTAGATAGCTCTGTGGCTGGGGTGGTCATATAATATAAATGTATTTAACAAAACTTTTCAAAAAGTAATTGCTGAGAGAGAGAGAATGCGCACAATGTATATGCCATGATTTAGGGATTTTTTTTTTCAGATTCAATTCAGATTGAATCTGAATTGCTAAAATTTATCTGCTAAATTTATCAACATGAATATCTCCTAGTACCACTTACTCATTATGTCCCAAACCAAGATTATTTCTCTCCTTCCATAATTTTCTGCTTCTATTCCCCTTTAAAACGCACCTGTTCTTCCTTCTCTGGTTCCTTACTTTAGAGGTAATGTCCCAGGTTGTATGTGGTCTCCCAGACTGGAAACATAGGTGTCATCTTTGATTCCTGTACTTCCCTTAGTCCTTCCATCACATCCAGCATGTTACTATAAAATATCTTCTTGAATTTCAGTGTCTCTTTTATTCATATTCTTCTTTAAATTCCTGCAGAGATGCTGGCTAATTTCAAGCCCCCTCATAGATTACTGCAGTCTCCTAATCAGTCTACCTGCCACAAATTTTTAGGCTTTCTAACTCACACTTACAGAATTACCATCCTAGCACAGAGCCCAAATAATGCCATTCCCCTCCTCATAAATGTTGGTGGATCACCTGATAAAACCCAAACTTCTTTTTTTTTTTTTTTTTTAATTGAGACAGAGTCTCACTTTATCACCCTGGGTAGAGGTGTCATAGTTCACAGCAACCTCAAACTCTTGGGTTCAAGTGATCCTCTTGCCTCAGCCTCCCTAGTAGCTGGGACTATAGTAACGCCTGGCTATTTTTGTTTGTTTGTTTGTTTATCAGGCTCAGGCTGGATTCGAGCCCACCAGCCCCGGAGCATGTGGCCAGCACCTAACCACTGAGCTACAGGTGCCCACCACCCCCCGAAATGTCTTAATATGGCATTCAAGGCTCTACATAGTTTGGCTTCAGACCAGCCTCTCTACTTTCAGCTCCCTCCAGAGCTTCCTGAGCCAGCAGATGGTTCCATCCACATCCCCTGTGCTCTTGTGCCTCTGTTCCTGGTACTCTTTCACTCTGCAGTATCCTTCCTTCTCACAGATTCTGCTCTGTCCTTCAAAGCTCAGCTTGCACACCACCTGTCTGTGGTGTTTCCCTGATTCCTCCGTTTCCTCCATCCCCCAGGCCTTTGTAGTATGTATGTCTCTGTCACAGTACTTATTCTTTTGTATGAGAGTTATTTATGTATTTATAATAAATTCTCAAGAATAGGAACCTT